CCTTCACCCTTAAACTCTAAAACCCCGTGAAGCCCTAAACCCCTTAACCCATAAACGTTAAAACCCCTAAAGCCCTAAGGCCTAAACACCTAAACCCCTCAACCCTTAAACTTTAAAAGCCCTGATGCCCTAAGGCCTAAACCCCTAAACCCCTTAACCCTTAAACTCGAGAACCCCTAAAGCCCTAAACCCCTTAACCCTTAAACTTTAAAACCCCTAAAGCCCTAAGGCCTAAACCCCTAAACCCCTTAACCCTTAAACTTCAAAAGCCCTGAGGCCCTAAGGCCTAAACCCCTACACCCTCTCATCTCACTTCTTCTCTCGACGCGGATCTTCTGGCGACTCTGGACTCTTTCTCAGCGTTTGAGGTTCATAGGCCTCCTTCCGCGAAGGCGCGAAGAAGCTTAGGGTTCAGGGTTAGGGTTTGGGGTTTAGGGTTTGGGGGTTTAGGGGTTCAGGGTTCAGGGTTTAGGGTTTAGGGGTTTAGGCGTTTAGGCATTTAGGGTTTAGGGTTTAAGGGTTTAGGGGTTTAGAGGTTTAGGGGTTTAGGTTTAGGGTTCAGGGTTTAGTTGGGGGGTAGGGGGAGGGGGTCTAGGGGGCCGTAATGACCTAATAAGTAATAAGGCCTGCTTAAGGAAGTATAGTCCCTTACCCCCCTCCCCCTTACTCCCCTAAGGGTCCCCATGGTAAAACCAGACACCCTAAACCCCAAACCCTAACCAAGCCGATTTCGAGGCGACTGCCCTTTCCTCAGCGGCAGCGGAGCGTCGGCTCTGGCGAAGAGCGCTACACTTGCTGGGAGGGCGCGCGGTTTCATGCGGTTCCAGAGTAATCTTGCAAGGTTTTTAAGAGTCTTTTGCGGTTCCAGAGTAATCTTGCAAAGGTTTTAAGAGTCTTTTGCGCCCCAAGAGTAACCCGGCAAAGGTTTTAAGAGTCTTTTAGTTGAGCTTCAGGGTGTCGGGTTTCGGGTCAGCTAGGGTTTGGAGTGGTTTGGGGTTTACGGTTTGGGGTTCAGGGTGGAGGGTTTAATGCATTCATATCACAGGTTTGGGCCTAAACCCTAAACCCCTAAACCCCTAAACCCCTAAACCCCTAAGCCCCTAAACCCTAAACTCATGGCCTAGGCCGCTCACCTTCGATGCCCGGGACCAGTACTTCCCTTATTAAAGTCATTACCCTAAACCTGCTACCCGAAATACTGGGGTTGGCCCCCCAAAAAGGAGGACTTACTGCAATTTTGCGTTTTTTGCCCTCTGCCCTGCCCTGTCCCTACCCTGCCCTGCCCTGCGCTGCGCTGCCCTGCGCTGCCCTGCGCTGCCCTGCGCTGCCCTGCCCTGCTTTGCCCGCCCGCCCTGCTCTGCCCTGCCTGCTCTCTGCCCTGCCTGCCCTGCCCTGCCGCCCGGAGCAGAAGCTTGGCTGCAGAATTGTGTGGTTGTTGTATGTTGTTGCTAACCAACATGGACCTAACAGAGTTTAGGTCCTAAACCCTAAAAGGTATAGGTTTGGGTGGTTTGCCGCCTCGGACGGCGTGGGGTGGGTGAGTTATGTGATGGCCCGCCACAGTCGGGCCATGGCTGCGATTCGCAGGCAGCAAAACCGCTAATAAATCTTACAATCCATGTTGCACTACCGCTACGCAATCTTACAGCAGACCCTAAACCCTGAAACCCTAAACCCAAAGAGGTCCCCTTTTGGGCATGCTGGGGCTCTGGCCAGAATAGGAGTTTCAGGGGCAATTTAAAAGGTTCGGGGGGTACCCTCAAAGCAGCATCGCTGTAGGGCCAGCTCGCACCGAATTCGGATTCGACCACATCGGATTAGAACGATCCTGGCCCTTTATCCCAGCCGAGACCCGTAGGTCTCAAAATCTTGCAACCCTGAACACCCGAATCTCGAGGCCTTGCAGCCCTAAGCCCAAAACCTCGAGCCGTGTACAAGGACCTAGATTCAAAAGGAAAATCAGGGACCCTTAATTGGGACCCTACCCTATCATGGGCTATTTATTATATTAAGGGTATAGTACCTAGGGGTCCTTATTTAGGGTCCCTCCTTTTACTCTTGGATATTGTAAACCCAGAGCCTTGAACCACCGAACAGCCCGAGATTCTAAACCCCCATGCCCATCGGGACGATGTCTTCTGCATGTTCGTCGTTTCACACCGTGTGTGTAGGCCGGTGCAGCCATACATGCCATCACACACCCTAAACCCTAAACCCAAAAACCACACCCTAAACCCGAATCTGGTTCCGGCAGGCTTCCCGCCAGAGGCCTTTGCTGGGATGCTGTCTGCCAGGGCACTGCGATCAAAGCTTACCAGGCTCGGTAGCGCGGGTTTAGGGACCCTGGTTTGGGGGTTAGGGTTTAGGGTCCCTGGTTCGGGGTCCAAATAGTTTGAGGATTGGGGTTCAAGGGACGTCAGCCTCGAAAGGGATTGGGGTTTGTGGCTGTGAATCAGTCTTGAGGCTTGGGACGAGGCTTCTTGTTTCTTTGAGAGGTGGGGGGTTGAAGGCGGGTTTGGGGTGGCATCGGGAAGGGGCTGATTTGGCTTTGTCACTGTACGTGCTCTCCTTTCATATCCCCAAGCCCTAAAGAGGGACACTTTTGAAGTAAGAGCAGTTGGCACAAGCAACAATTGTAGCACTACCTGCTCTTGTTGATAGGTGTCCGGCCACTGGCAGCTTGCTTGGTTGCTGCTCTCGGATGATTCCTTGACCTCTCGGCGACCGGGATGCCTTAAGCATTAAGCTGGTTTTTCAAGGGAAGATGTATTTATGTAGGACACGCCCGCACCGAGGGTATTCAAAACGCGCCTGTTAATAGCAGATCACCACTCCCGATGCCAGCAAAGCCGACGATATCAGCAAGCAGTGACCATGTTGCAAGTGCCACAGTCACAATACAGATGTTGATGGCGATTAGGCCCATTAGGCTGCCAACAGCGGGTCTTCACTTCAAGGTGTAAGGTGTGTTGTTTCGAGATTTCCTTACTTAAGAGCAGAGTAGCAATCCTCATGCTTTTGGGTCAGCGCTCTTCGGGTTGAAACCTCAACCGATCCCAAAACAAATAGGGTTTAGTAGCGCAAGCTTGAAGGTTCCAAGGGTAAAAGGAGGGACCCTCAATAAGGACCGCTAGGTATATACCCTTAATGTAGCTATCATATACCCATTATTTCGCCCATCATAGGGTAGGGGTCCCCATTAAGGGTCCCCCCTGTTCCCCTTTGAAAGGTTCAATGCTTTCGGGTTCCCGGGTTTCGAAGGTCCCTTGGTTGGCAGTCGCAGGGTTGAGAGTTTTCTTGGACGGCCCTCCGAAAAAGGGCTTTGTTATGGCAGTTGTCAGGGTCCCAACCGAAGGACGGAATCCCAAGTTAACGGCAACTTCTTTCAGTGCCAGCAAATTCCGCAGTGCAAGGTTCTGCAAAGTGTCAATCCCAGTGTCACAGAAAAGGCTCCCACTGTCAGAGTAGGTGCTGCAGGAGGAGTCCTAGTTTCCAATCACTCCTGCTTCCCACCTGCTGTGCCAGGTCAGAACAACCGATGGGTTCGCCTCATTAGTTCCGGATACGATGGCAGGTTTCGTTTTTTTTTCGCGTTGCTGTAAGGCTGAGGGTTGGAAACTTGGGGCAGTCCGAATGCTCGCGCAGAACCGGCGTGCCGAAAACCTTAGCCTTAGCCTTCGGCTATAGTCTCCTCAGGAAATATTTTTTTAAATTTTTGCTCATATACAACCCAAGAGAATATTAGCAACATTAGTATTATTATTATTACTAATATTATTATTATTAATATTATTAATATTAGTATTATTATTATTATTATTATTATTATGGTTCTAAGGGGGGTATAGTATCGTCGGTACCTGCTCAATATCCAGAAGCCCCAGAGCCAAGACCTGGAAGAGTTCTTGCTGCTTTGTGTGTGCAGCTCCTAGTCCTACACCCTAAGTAATTCATTAATCTCGTAAACCCCAAACCCTTACACCCCTAAATCCTTTAGCCCCCTAAACCCTAAACCCCTAAGCCCTAAACCCCTCAACCCCTAAACCCTAAACCCCTAAACCGTATAAAAGGTTAACCTTGGTCCCTGACCCGGGGCCCTACACTGAGAAATCCACCAGGATCTCCTTCAATGCGGCGGTCACCGCAGGCAGTTCGGGTTTTAGGGAGTTTTACAGGTTTAGGGCTCTTTGGGGATTTAGGGAGTTTTACGGGTTTAGGGCGTTAGGGGGTTTTATGGCTTTAGGGGTTCAGGGTCCAGGGGTTCAGGGTTTAGGTTTTAGGATTTTAGGGCTTAGGCCCTGAACTCCGCGCGCATTGAGGGCTTAGGCCCATGTTTTGCAGGTCCAGGGAGTCCCGGGTCCCGGGTCCTGTGCCTAGGAGCGGTCTTTTGACTCGGAACTCCCAGCAAGTATGTGCGCTAGCCATAGCTGCAGCCAGAACCTTAGCCGTAGCAGTGTCAGTAGCGGCAGGAGTAGTAGTAGTAGCAGTAGTAGTCGTAGTGGTAGCGGTAGCGGTAGTGGTAGCGGCAGCGGCAGCGGTAGCGGTAGGGGTAGGGGCAGGGGTAGGGGTAGTGGTAGTGGTGCTGGTGCTGGTACTGGTACTGGTAGTAGTAGTTGTCGTCGCAGTAGCAGTAGTAGCAGTAGTAGCAGTAGTAGTAGTAGTAGCAGCAGCAGCAGCAGCAGTAGTAGTAGTAGTAGTAGTAGCAGTAACAGTAGCAGTAGTAGTCGTAGTCGCAGTAGTCGTTGTAGTCGTAGTCGTAGTAGCAGTACACCTGCCACTACCACCTAGAGAAGATGTATCCTGAAGCAGAAGCTCTCCAAGCCCAGCATTTCTTCAGCTAAACCCTAAACTCAAAATCTGAGAGCCCTAAATCCTAAATCTGAATATCCTACACCCTACACCCCAAACCCCAACCCCTAAACTCCAAGCTCTCAAAGCCCGGTGTCCCTTCAGGCGCCCGTGGCACCTCTTGGCGTCAATGCCTGCGCCTGGTCTTGTCGATGGGCCAGTCGGAGGCCTGCGTTTCAGGTTTTGCAGACTCAGGGGTTTCGGGTAGGGTTCAGGGGTTTGGGCGTTGGGGGGTTTAGAGGTGTAGGGGTTTAGGGGTTTAGGGTTTAGGGCTTCAGCTGGAATAGGACGACTTGGCAAAGCTGCTGTGGTGTTCGAGACAATCGCTGTTGCTGCCTGGCCTTGCACCCTAAATACCCGCCACTCCTCAATCTTTAATGATAGTATAAATAAGACTTTTAATACTAGCAATAGTATTACTATCAATGTTCGTAACAATAAGAGTAATAGCAATATTACTTCGGGTACTCTGCCATAAAGTCGCCTTGCCGGGCCGAGCCTGACCTGGCCGCGGTGTCGGGTTGCAGCGTTGTAGGCCTGGGCTGCCGAACATTCCTTGTAAAAGCACATGAACAAAGACATACATCGGAAAGCACATATGTGCATACGAAGGCCCATTAACCCTAAACCCTAAAACCCTGAACCCAAAACCCTAAACCCAAAATCCAAAACCCTAAACCCTAAACGGATGGGAGATGATCTTCTTAACCTGGTGACACTCTGGTGAGCACATAAAGCGCCTCGGGACTTAGGTTGCCAGTATGCGGTATTTTGTGGTGAGGTGGTGAATCCCCATCAAGGGCTTTTCGGTGCTCACTCTCCCTCAACCGGTACGGTAGTCTGCATGCTGCGGCGAAAAGACACGAGGGTTCAAAAAAAAAAAACAGGATGGCAGAGACGTTTTGGCTAGCACCAAAGGATGGCGCACATCGCAAGGGTCTCAGAAAACCGACTGATGATCATGCTACTGCTAATCACAGCACGAACTAACAACAACTAGTAACGATGATGAGAAGAATACAAAGACGAATGCGAATAATGACAAATAGTAGTGATGATGGTAAGCATACTAAGACGAATACTAATGGTAATGTAGTACAAGTCGGCAAAGCCAAACCCTAAGCCCTAGACCTTAAACCGAACTGCTAAGACCAAAACCCTAAGCCCTAAACCCCTTCACCCTAAGCCCCGAAAGCCCCTCTATAGAACCCTGAATGCATCCCTTATAGGAACCCCTGTAGATCCTTTTAAAGGAACCTCAATAAGTCGGCAACGTCAAAGGTTTCCATCGCTCCCATCCTGTGAGAGGTTCGGCCAAACACGGTAACGGTCAACGCGGTCATGAGCGGACTGGAAGGTGGCTTTTGATCGATTTAGGGCTTCAGGGGTGTAGGGGTGAGGGGGGGGGTTTAGGGGTTTAGGGTTGAGGGGTTTTGGGGTTCAGGGGTTTAGTCTGGAGGGGTTTAGGGGTTAGGGGTTTAGGGGTTTAGGGGTTAGGGGTTTCGGGGTTTAGGGGTTTAGGGTTTTAGGGTTTTGAGGTTTAGGGGAGGCGCCTTGATGGGTTTCGGTGGCAGGGCATATGTTTCAACTGGAATCGACGTACAATAACAATTAAGGGAGTTTCCGAAAATAGGGGACCCTAATATAGTACCCTAGATAGTAGGATCCTTCTTATAAGGACCCCCAATAAGGTACCCCTGGTTTTCGGAAACTCCCTTAAAGAGTTTGGGTTTTGCATAGATGTCGCTCCTCGTCTACAAGAAGGTTTAGGATTTGGTGATTCGAAGGTATTCTGGGTTTGGGGTTTTATGGTAGTCTCCTTTCACGCCCTCGCTCCAACAGCTCTACGCGGAATCTTCCAATGCCTTGAGAACTCGAACTACCCCAAAATGCCCAACAACCTGAACCATTGTCATCGCTCCAAGCAGCAGGGGGCTTTTGATCGCAGGAATGTCTCCTCCTGAATGTTGCGAGTCGCAATGCAAGCAGAAATTAGCAAGCTTGCAAAGGTCGAGCCAGCAGTCATCGTAGCAGCAGCAATGTGCGTCGACAAGGAGATGTATAGTAGTCCTCGTATTCACAGAGCCAGAAGGAGAAGAAGCGATACCCTAAACCCTAAACCCTAGCTGGTTGACGCCTTCGCAAGGAGTCCAACAAGGATGATAGAGCTCGAGCCAGCGGTAGCAACAGAAGATGGAACAATTATAACTATATTATAACGACTATTACCGCCATTCCCTTCTAAATCGTGCTCGAAGAAGCAACGAAGCCTATCTTCCAAGTCGAGGAACTGGCTGGCTGCGGGCCTTTGACTTGCTTCGTGATGCCTCAAAGACAAGGTCGGCGGAGAGATCACGAACAGACCCGTGCTTGTAACTTTAGGTCTGCTCTCATTGCTGGTCGACAAACCGTCAGTCACGTTGGTGTTCCAAGACTCCGAAAACGTACATTATTGTAGGGGCCTAAATTTAACAGAATAGGGCTTCGGGGCCCATTATACTATAATTATATCAAGGAGCCACCAAAACAGTCTTTAGGCCCGTTTGGTAGCACCAGAAAGCCAGACCTGAAACTTGAAACTCTGGCGCTTGTGTTAGGTTAGGGTTTAGGGTTTCGGGTTTAGGGAATTTAGGGGATTCAGGGGATTTAGGGAAATTTAGGGGATTTAGGGGATTTAGGGGATTTAGGGGTTTAGGGTCTAATTTTGGGCCCTGAGGCATCAAGCTGATGAGATTGGCCTCAACACCGCTGCTAGAGCTCCCTGGATTCGCTTCTGGGAAATGGGACTTTCCGAAAATCAGCGACCCTAATACAGCACCCTAAGTAGTAGGATCCTTATTATAAGGACACCAGAATAAGGTACCCCTATTTTTCGGGAGCTGCCAAATGAGTTTGGGAATTTTGGGGTAGAGGCCTTGGCGATGCTCCGGGACTGCACGCATTTGCTCTCGCACTCTTCAGTTCGCTCATGGTGGGAGTAGCCTTCGAATTGGCATTGCTTTATGAACCCTAACAGCCCTTAAACCCGCAACCCCATACCCTAAACTAAACCCTATCAGCCTCATACATTTCTCGAAGGTCCTGCAATCGGGGGTTTTGCATGGGTTTCCATTAGGTGTAGGATGCCCCAAAGCCTAAACCCTAAAGCCGAATGTTCTAGGCTTGCACCGGGCGAGCCTGGTCCAAGGCGCTGGTGCCTTGGACTTTCGAAAGGGCAAGACGTGCTTTGTTGCCATGCGAGTTTATGTCGGGGTTCGGGTTTAAGGGTTGCTGTTGTGGCTCGTTTTCAGGTTTGTGCTGTCCACTCCGATATCTGTTTTTCATTGTCACCGGCATCGTTGCTCTAACGCTCCTCGTGCTTTGGTCTGTTCGAAAAACTGCGGTAGGTATCGACTCGGGATATAGTTTCTAGTTTCCCTTGTTGTTTAACATAGAGCCTAATTAAAAGCAATTTTGGGGACTGTTGAAATCGACACCTATAGTATTTCTTCGGTTAGGCACCAAGCCATCGAAGCAAACATGGATCATGGTCGAAGATCTGGTGTTGAGGGGTTTTGGGTAAAGGGTTCGGGGTTCCAAACCTTCAAATCCTGAACCCTAAACCCTGAACCCTGTGAGGCAGGAGAAAAGGAGCGACAAAAAAAACAACTTGAACCGTACATAAACCCTGAACCCTGAACCGCCGAGGAGCTTCTTCACGGGATGCCCGCGTGGCTTGTCGGCCCTGAAGTCTTCTCTCACCCATACCTTTCAAACTCCCTTAATTATGGAATTCAATCATATTAGGGATCATACTTTAATTTAAGGTATATTCCTTAATTAAGGGATACTGGAGTCTCTGGGAAAGGGGTGTAGGGGTTCCTTTAAAGGATCCCTTTGAGGGTACTAGACTATAAGGGTTACAATAAACAGGATCACTATTGGAGTTCAGGGTTTGGGGGATTTCAGGCTTAGGGTTTAGGGCTTTAAGGGTTTGGGAGTTTTTCGGGTTTAGAGTTTGAGGGTTTAGGACCTTGAGAGGCTAGCCCGAAACCTTAATTTCCCAAAGAGCGAAACCCCCAAAGGCCTCAATCCGAAGTCCTAGGAGGTTCGGTGAGACGACGGTGTCGGAGATAGTTTCGATCGTTTCAGGGTTTTCGGGTTGAGGTTCCGGTTGCTCGTATGCTCGTAGATGTGAGCTTCGAGGTTTCGGCATCATGAGTTGAGCAGTCGGGCTTTGAGGGTTTAGGCACTTAGAGTATCTCTGAAGTTTAGAGTTTAGGGGTTGAGCTGCCTCCACTTCAGCAACACCCTTCAGCCCTGAGCCCAAGCTTTGTATGGGCTCCACCTGCGGCAATCTGAGAGATCCCATGAATTAATAGAATCAAAGGGGAAAAGGAGGGACCCTTAAAGGATAATGGGCAAGATAATGGGTATATAATAGCTATATGAAGGGTATATACCTAGGGGTCCTTTTTAAGGGTCCCTCCTTTCACCCTTGGATAGAATCCTGTGCAGAGCGGCCAGAACGTCCGAAAGGCTTGATTTCCTTTAGCTCAGATGCCGTACCTCGAGAACTGTACGAAGCCCCTTGTGCAATGCCTGCTCTTAGTAACTAGGGTTATAGTTAAGGTAACTATACTTATAATTACATACTTACTAAGTCCCATGATCCCCCCATTATAGACCCCTTTTAGATCCCTTTAAGGAACCCTATTATAGAACCCTATAGTACCCCTTTAAAGGGAACCCTCAACCCTACTTACTAAGTCCCATGATCCTCCAAGTTTGGCTGTACCATCAGAACCCCCCGGCTGTGGCACCAAACACCTTTGAAGTCACAACTCCTGGAATCTAGGGTTTAGGGTCTAGGGTCTAGGGTTTAGGGTTTAGGGTTTAGGGTTGGCATTTTGAGAAACTTTTTCATGTCCCTTGATGGTTCCTATAGCGGTACCTATTCATGAGTTTTTTAGGGCAGCCAAAACTATAACCCAGGAATCATAGAGCTGCACATCCTAAAGCCGTGCTGAGGCAGTTGGGTTTAGGGTTAGGGTTGTTTAGGGTTTAGGGCGTAGGGTAAGGGCTGTGTATTGCAGTTCAGTCATGTGCGCTTCATCATCTGAGACTTCCTTCGGCCACAGCAACATTCAAAACGGGCTTCCACATTGTACTCTATCAGTGTGTACTGTACTATGTTATGCGACATCCCATCATCTTGGGTTCAGGTTGTATTCTTTTCCTGTGCTACTATCCGGCTTGATCATGCTATATTGGTCGAATAGGCAACCGAAGTACACCACCCCTCCTGAATACTGAACCGCTCAAGTTCTTGAGCCATGCCTGCTGATACACTTCCATAGAATCGGTAGCCCTGAAACCTGCTCGAACAAAAAGGCACGGGCTCCGGGGCAGCCGATCCGGCATCAACGCTGTGCTGAAAGCTTGCGCAAGCAGATGGGAGTGTGGCTCTCTGCCGCTGGACGCATCCATCAATGAGTCGATTGCTTTCTTTCTGTTTGTATTGAGAGCAACGGGAGAAGTTGGTGATTCGAGCTTTGGATGCTTAGGAGAAGTCAAGATGACGAACTTCTATTGGGTTTTCTCTTCATGACAATCCGACGGGATAGACCAGAGCAAAGCCTGCAGCACTTGCGACAAAGGCTACACCTCCGCCGGCCAGCCTCTCAGCTATTGTACTCTTGCCCTTCCTTCGACTAAATCTCCACTATTTGGTAGATATGCGCAACCCCCTGTCAGAGCATTGGGCATCGCTTGACATTGAAGACCGATCAAGCGAGGTAGGCGCCTCAATAGTTACAACAGGGTTTTGGGGTATATTTGATCGGGGTAATACTTCGGAACCCGAAGTGACAGGAGTGCGGAGTCGGGAAGCATAAAACTGCACACATCGGAACTCCCATCAACTACACCGAGGGCTCGTAGTCGCAGAAGTTTGCTCTCACGGTCTACAGCTCCTCATAATGCAGGAAATTCGATGCTTAGTCGTGAACAGCGAGGTAGAAAACGCAACTGGCGAATAGTATGAATCTGATCCCCACCAGTACCCTTCACCGCTGTCAACTTTTTCTAGGTAGGGCTTTGGGACTTTTCATATTTGCTCTTATTGGGCTTAACAGGATCTTACCTACTCATATTTTTCAAAGGCTTTAAACGCATCTCCTAGTTTTCATATTTCAGGAACTTTTGTCACGAGGCGGAGCAGCTTTGTTGTCATCCAAGCTCCCAAAGTGCTAAAGGGAACTCCAGAAAGTTGGAAAATGGTTTTAGGGTAGGATACCTTATAACTTACCATAAAGGGTTTAGGATAATCATATTCCAAATTTCTGGCTTTTACTTTACAGACTTGCAATACCCCTGTGCCAGCCCATTTCAGATTGAAGGCATCGAAGTAGTGCGGCTTGCCTGTTCCAAACCTACTTCCTGAAGCTCCGAGCACCAAAGTTAAACGCATACTCAAAGCCGAGTTCCTCTAACACCCAAGCCCGAAACACCCTAGGGTTTAGGGTTTAGGGAAAAACCCAATCTTATGCATAAAGCCCTAGAAGTCCCCGAGGACCTCGTGACGTTCAACACAGCCATTGCCAGCCTGGAGCCTGAGCTGCTGGGCCAAGGAAGCTTAGGGCCTACTTGGAGGATCATGGGACTTGGTAAGTATGGTGATAAGTACCTTAATAGGGGTTAGAAGTAGTTACAAGTATAGTTACCTTAATTATAACCCTTGTTTCTGAGTCCCATGATCCTTTATGTAGGGCTTTGGGGCTTTAGGGTTTGGGGCTCTGGGGTTTAGGGCTTTCGGCTTTAGGGTTTAGGGCTTTAGGGTTTGGGGCCTTTCCCATCCCCCTTGTCAGATCGTCATGCAGCAGCAGGTAGTAGGAGTAGGAATGGGAGTGGGAGTGGGTGTTGTCCGTGGCGGTGGTATTTATTTGTTGTGGTTGTGGGTTCCGTCGTCGTCTTTGCCGTGCTCGTCGTCATTCTCATCGTCGTCGCGTTCGTCGTCGTCCTCACCGCCTCGGAGTGTCTCAGTGTCCTCGTGTCCCAGTCTGTCGATGTCCGAGTGTTCCACATGTCTTGCTGTGCTAATATAGGATATCGGGCCTTAATAATTTGGAATAGGGTCTTGGGGGACGTTATACCACACTTATCCTCGGGAACTGCCTGTGTTCTGGTTTTAGCATGTCCCGGTTTCACGCTCCCCCACCCACAACACCTGAAATTGCCAGAGCAGAAGAGCCAGGCCATCAGCATGTCAGGGACCGAAAGAACTCAATAGTTCCTAGCAAGTGTGTCAAACGCAAAGGAAGCTGAATCAAGAAGCCAGGCAATTCAAGCAAAGAGTGTTTCAAGAAGCTGCTATATAGATTCATAGGCACCCGGACCCTGGACTTCAACAGAAATGCAAACTGGCCCGAATGAAGCCCCACATAATTGAACAAAACGTAAAGGCGCAGAGAAAAATCACACAAGCTCCATAATGCACCCTAGACCCTAAACCTTGAACTCTAAATTCAGAAAACCTAAACCCCTACAGTAGAACCTCCAGGGGCTGGGCCTGCGGCTTGGCCTGGGTGGCGGAGATGCAGGCGCCTGGTACAGAAATAATCAAGTCAGTGTTCAGGGTTTAGGGGTTAGGGTTTGCGGGTTAGGGGTTTAGGGTCTAGAGGTTAGGGTTTGGGGTTCAGGGTTAGGGTTTAGGGTCCATTACAAAGGGCTCTATAAGGGTTCCTATAATACACGGGTTTTGAGAGTGTTTTCATGCTATAAGGCTTCAACGAAAGGGTTCTAGAAGGGTCTTTGTAATCAGGCTCCTGGTTTCTATGTACCAAAAAGAGTCCATACAAGTGGTTCTAGAAAGGTTCCTATGACAAGGCTGTTGGGTTTCATCGTGTTTTGAGTTGGTGGAGTATGGGAACATAGTACCTAAAGGAAGTAGTCCAAGTGGTCGAAAGAATCGGAATAAAGTTGGCTTGGCAAGAACAGTAATATGTAGTGGCATGGATGGTTGGGAAAGACGAGGCAGGAATCACGGGCTTAGCAGGAACAGTGAACAGCAAACCCGCGCTTGTAGCACTAGCAATGAGAACGGCAGGAACCCTAAACCCTAAACCACGGTCAGCAACAAGGTCCAGTCCTTCTCTGACTGCAAAGTGGATTAGCAACTGTATTGCTCCTCGTAGTAGCACCACAGCAACCACCACCAGCGCCACCACGACTACGACTATGAAAAAGACAAAGGCTACTGCTACGGCCACGGCTACGACTATGAACACGACTGCGACTACGACTAGGACTGCGACTGCGCCGTCGCAGTCGCAGCAACGGCTACCACCAAGACGACGAGGACGTCAACTACTGCCGCTACAACCACGCTGCAACCACCACATTTCCATTTTCATTTCCATGGTCATGTTTGTCGTTGATCTTGGCTTCAGCCCTCACCTTCCTTAATCTTCATCTTCAGCATCGTCCTCCTCCTTCCTAGCATTTTGCAGTTTTTCCTCCCGTTTTCATGTAGTGCTGCGGGCTCGTGGTTGAAAGCTCGCGGAGAGAAGCCATGCGAGTAGGCTCAACTTCGACAAGCGGCGAAGAGTTCAAATGTTTCGGGTGGCAGGCTTGCGAAGTCTTGAGGTACCGTTTAAAGGAGCCCCTATCCCAAAGCCCTTATTATAGTAATCTAAACCCCAGGCCTCGGCCCTAACCCAGACCCCTGGGAGGATCCAAAAAGTAGATCCCTTAATGGGGGTTCCTATAAAGTACCCCCAGCAGTATAGGGCCCTATATTAGGGGATCTACTTTCTAGATCCTCCCGGGGGTCCTGGGAAGCCCTAAACCCTAAACTTTAACTTTGATCTTCGGATGTCGGGGATAACAGCTAACCGTTCCAGCAGAGGCCCCAACCACAGGCTCAGCCTGGTAAGGCAAAAGAGCCCTCAAAAAAAAACCCCTAAACCCTAAACTCTATGTAAACCCTAAACCCTAAACCCTAAACTTTAACGTGTGAGACTTGGGATCTCAGTGTCCGCAGCCGGAAAGGTGGAGAGGCTCGCCGGATCCCTGGCCACCTACGTCTCTGTGGCCTTGCTGCAGACATTTAGGGCTTAGAGGGTTCTATAGGGGATCTATAGGGTTCCTTTTAAAGGGATCTATAAGGGTTCTATAAAGGGATCTATAGAGGAAATTTAGGTTTTATTCGACCTCCCGCAAGTGCTCTTTACGCCTCAAGCACGGAGGGACACCGATCTTATCCCACCTGTCCTAAACTTTCAACTTGAACCTCCTTTTTCAATGCCCTAAACCCTAAGACCCTAAACCCTAAACCCTAAAACACTTTAAAACAAACCCTAAAACCCTAAAGCCTAAACCTATCATGTTTCTCGCCACTTTTGATACATGTCAAGCCGGGTGTGTAAGAGCATCACTAGGTGGCAATTTGAGAAACTTTTTAATTTCCCTTATGGTTCCTATAAAAGTACCTAAAATACTTTTCAGAGCCCCAAAACTGCAACCCAGATCACCGTGCATCCTTGAGGCGGCCACACTGCTGGGCCAGGGTACGGCTTGGCAGCACGCCGTTGCCTTGCTGCTTGGATGGCTACTTAAAGGATCATGGGACTTAGTAACTAGGGTTATAATTAGGGTAACTTTACTTATAACTACTTATAACCCCTATTAAGGTACTTATAACCATACTTACTAAGTCCCATGATCCTCCAAGTAATGGGGCGAAGGTTAAGGTTTGTGCCACTGTGCGCCACCGGAAATTTGTTCATGGCAGGTTTTCGTGCGAGCCATGTGCAATGTTGTACCTGTAGACTCCCCGCGACTGAGCCCCACAATTGGGCCAGCTTTAGGGTCTAGGGTTCTGGTCTGTGCGCATTCGTAAGGCTGGATGCTTGTCTGCTTGCCCCGGTCTCAGTTGCTGTGTCTCTCCAGACAGCATATGGGGGTTTCCGAAAATAGGGGACCCTAATATAGTACCCTAAATAGTAGGATCCTTATAATAAGGACCCGAAAATAAGGTACCCCTAATTTTCGGAAACTCCCATATCGGGTTAGCCAGTTCAAAGCTGGGGGTGCCAGCCAACCCTGTACTGAAGACCTAAACCCCCAAACGCTACGGCAGCTGTCGGCCTTACCAGGGCCAAACAAAGAGATGATGAACGCATGAGCTGCATCATGATTTTTGCCGACCGTCATCGCCTGGATTTCTTCAACATCGGGGGCTCCTGTTGAGAATGTACGTCCTTGTCTTCTGATATCTGAAGTCTGAAGGGGCCCCACTATCCAGCTTTTCACTCATATAGTGGCCTGAATCCTTCATCCCAAACCCTTTGCACGGCACCCGAAAATGATAATGCATGGAACCATGCACCGCGACACCTCGGCCGTCTGCCCCAAAGCCCAAACCATAGACCCTATAACAAGACACAGAAATTCCTACAGTCTCACAATTCGACTACAACTGCAACATCCGAAACCCTAAACCCCGAACCCTAAACTCCGTAGCCATTTTGGCTCAAGGCTTTATGGCTCAGATTCCCGACAGCTACCTTAGGAGGACTAGGGGGCAGCATGGACTCTCCGGAGGCCGGAGAACCAGATCGAGGAGTCTGGTCCAAGGTTATTTCGCCTGCGGCGCACTTCAGCTAGGACCGACCTTTGGGACGTCTATGATCGATGTACAGGGCCCTTTGGAGTCGTGTGCTGAAAGGAGCATTGCCAACGACATCCTTGCACAGCTCCTGCCATTATTTTACAGATCGTCTTTGTGCGGACGATCTTGCAAAATTACGGCGCACGATGGAGCTACTAGATGGAGGCGTGCTTCGCGTAGCCTCTACATGCTCTGGGTTGGACACCTCAATTCCTGTCTTCGAGCACACATTGAAAGCTCTGTCCGAAAGGTTTGGTGTCACTGTCAAAGCAAAGCACGTCTTGAGCTGCGATTCCTCCCAAGCCAGCCAAGACTTTATTCTTGCAGCACGCGCCGACAAGCTCCAGCTCCTGGTGGCCGACTGCCGCGAATTTGAGGGCGATAGCGTGCAATGCATCAAAAAGGAAAAACGGGTGTCCATCCCCGAGGCCGACATTGACAGGCTATCGCTTTACGAAGAAGCCAGATGATTTTCAAGATCTCTATGCTTTAGAAGCGCTGACCTCGATTCCAGGAGTTCGTCAATACACTCTCGAGTAGGCACGGTTTTGCATGCATCGCAGTCTGTATAGTGAAGAAGCTTATACGGAGAACATGTATAAAGCTGCAGAACATCCTGTCATTATGTCGTATCCAAACGACTTTGCTTGGTGGAATGTGGAAGCTGAAATGTTTTCTGAGTTTCAGAAGTTACCAGAAATCCAGAAAGCTCTGTCTGTGGCGACGAAGCTTTCAGCCGCATGAAGGACTCGGTGGCTGGCTGGCCATTGAAGGGTTCACGACAGGACCTTGAGAATATCAGCACAGTCAGACAGCGAGATCTTCTCGCACGTTCGCAGCTGTCAGGTTTGCAGTGATTCGGGCAAAGCCTTTCTGTCAGGTTTTGGGGTCTCGGGTTTCGGTGATGGTGCTCACAAATCGGAAAATCGAGGGAATGCGAATCGTCACAGGACCTGAGCCCGGGTTTAGGGGTTTATGGTTTTCCGGTTTAGGGCTCCGGAGCCTATTTTGGTGAAGCTCCAATAAGATTTCCGGGCACAATTCAGGAATCGTAGTGGTAATCATTCGCGTTTCTCACTATTGTATCTTACGGCATACCTATTAGGTGGATTGTTGCAATCACCTAAGAGACGTTATAGTAGCTGGTACAAGACAAGTATGTTCACGCTTGTATATTGCGCTGGAGCATAAGAACACTTGGTATCCCCGGCGTCGCCGGTGGAGTGACCTTGTGGCTGCCATTACCTTTATGCATATGCCTCCTGTGGTTGAACAGTCCCCCCCACGTTAGGTCGTTCTACTAGGGTTTCCGATCGCATGACCGTGTGCCTACTTGCGCCGCCCTCGCAAAGGCAGCTGCCTCCACCTCCTCTGGGCTTGCAGCCAGCCGCGTTGCCTACGACTCCGCTGAGGGGCTGCCGCTGTGCCTGAGAAGCTTTCGAACGAGTACTTCTACAATGGTGCAAAGCACCTGATGAAGCCGTTCAACCCTGAGGACATTTTGGGGGACAAGAACGTGACTTTTAAGCACGGCGACTTGAAGTTCCTCACCAAATTGCTCCGCGGCCACGCATTGGACGAGTTCCCTGCGCTGACCTTTGATCGTGGGTGTTGGACAGACGTGGATGTCCTGCTTCAGGTCTTCAACACCGCCAGGGAGTCACGATGGGGAGTCAGACAGCTGCTACGTGCAGCGAAAGCTGACAACAAGGGGAGCATCGATGTCCCGATGAAGGACACGCTGGGCCAGCCTCTGTTCCCCGTGCGTGTGAGAATGGCACAAGGACACAATGAAAAGCTCATCGGCAATAATCCGGACGCCGGCCCCCGGGCTGCCTCCGGCTCCTCTGGGCTTTCCGCCAGCCGCGCTGCCTTCGCCTCCGCTGGTCATTTCGGCTGCAGAGCACGCGCGTGAGATCTTCTCGCAAGTTGAGAGTTGTCAGATGGGCAATGGTTCGGGCAGCGCATTCCCGATGGGTTTTGCGGTGTCGGGTTTCGGTGGCGGCACTGACAACTTGAAAATCCGGGAATGCGAAACGTCACACGGCCGGAGCCTGGGTTTAGCGGTTTATCGGTTTTCAGGGCTAATCGGCTTCGGGCCATGCTTTGCAAAGTTTCAGTATGGATTCCACGAATGCTGCAGGAATCGCACTGGTAATCATTCACGCCTTCTTACTCTTGTCTATCCATATTCCATTCCCCCCATTCCCTACTAAGAACCAGACAGATAAGAGCCCCGAGCATAGAACCGAGCCCCGAACAGTTCCCCACGCTTTTAAGGCCGGCATATTCCCCAATTCTCAGCTTCAATGCTCAAGCATCTTTGCTCTCGCCTCTGTTGGCTAGAAAGAGGAGCGACAGCCCCCGAACTTTAGTGCGCAATTCCGAACTTCTTCTCTGGACGAGAGAACAAAGATGATGCATCCATTCACTGGTTTGACCAGAACACAGCTTGCAGTCCGACTCGGACAAAGGTCCGGATGGTGTGTTGTATACCGATGCCAAACTGGTTCTTCAGATTCAAGGAAGTCACGATATGCTCGAAAACATCAGATTATTCGAGTGGCATGCTTCTGGATACACCCTTAGTGAACAGCAAGGCTTAATCGACCAAGTTGTGCAATTTGTCGATGATGCTTCGATTTGGAGGATTGACTGGAAGTCTTTTGACTTATTTGTCCAGCCCTTCGAACAGCATTTCTTCACGAGGTTAGTTGGTTCCAGACTTAACCTTGACAATGCAGAGTTGAGAGAACTGTTTGACATATTCCGTTTCTACTTGATCTTCAAGGGACTCGTCGCGCCAGACGGGTACCTTTGGAGACTGAAAGGGATGGCTTGCTCAGGCGGCCTCGAAACTAACGCGGTTGACTTTGTTGTCAACAAAGCTCGCATACTGTACATCAAGTATCGCATGCGGGCTACTATTTACAAGCACGAGTATGCGGCGATAGTGGCATGGGCTGAGCAGTTCAAGGCCGATGTTGACAACACTATGGCAGCCATCTGGGCGGAGCACGAACAGAATGTTCATCGCGAACAAGTCGCGCAGCTACGAGTCGAGCAAGAGAGGGCGGCGACAATGCAGTGAAAATGATGGCCATGCAGGGGAGAAACACGATGGCTGCAGAATGGGGAGTATACGTCTTCCTTGAGGTCCATGAGGGTGCCTCTCTTTCTTGCTTTCTCGCCTTCCCAACGGGATTCCTTTCTTCTGCGCGTGCAACAAGGCGTTCAACAACAAAAAGGAGCCCTAAACTGCAAACCCTGAACCCTAAACCCTGAACTCTGAACCCTAAACCCCAAACCCTGCAACGTCCGAAACGATGAAACGATCTGAAGCCCTGAGTCTGGACTGGAGCCAAACGTGGCTTTGCGGTCGTCCTTGCTCAGCTCTTCGTCGAAGGTGGGGTTATCACGAGGGCTGCTCTACTCTTGAACCCTCTTTCTCAGATGCAGTACTTTGGCTCCATACCGAGAGCAGTCAGCGCAGATCTTTAGGGCTTAGGGTGTAGGGATCTCTCTAGCTCCTCAGAAGCGGCCTCCAATTTTCGTCAGCGTCGTCCCAGGTTCAGGGGTTCAGCATTTAGGGTTTAGGGAAGAGAGAGACCGGGAGAGAGAGAGCGAGAGAGCGAGAGAGAGCGGGAGAGAGCGAGAGAGGTTGAGAACTATACGGGGGTTTCCGAAAATTGGCGACCCCGGGCCCCAATATAGTACCCTAAATGGTAGGATCCTTACTTTAATACACCCAGATAAGGTAGCCCCTTTATCTGCAGTCAGGGCACCCGAAAAAGCTGAGCAAAACCCGAGGTTTTGCATCTGCTAAATTGTACAGTAAGCCAGGAAACCCCAGCCTTGACTCTGGCTGCTCCAAACCCGTCCTTACCGCTTTTCTGTGTTCTTCGAAAAAGTTGAATCTAAGTTATCACTATAGTAAAGACCTATAGTAAATAATATGCTTTCCTTAACATGGTAACTTAAACTAATATCCTATAAATATCATACCCTCCGTATTACTACGGCAACTTCAGTTTACAACCTTTAACAAGAACCCAGTTTTCGCCGGTCCCCACAGGTCCTTCGTTGGGCGGCTGCTCTCTGCATCTTCGGGGAGGTGGATGCACGCCAGGCCGTGGGGCTTGGGCATCAGTTCAGGTTTTGAGGGGTTTTCGAGTTTATTGGGTTTTGGGCTTAGGAAAGTGCTACTGCCATGTTACAACGGTCACTACCAAAAGGGTTACAAGGAAGGAATACTTTGGGTACGGCCCCACTCAGTAATAGCAGAATAGTATTCATAGTATAGATATGTTAGGACCTTAGTAGTAGCCATAATATGGACTCTTACTGTATGGGGGCAGTACCTAAGGAATACTACTAGAGTTGCTATAAACGGGCTGCTTGTAAGGTTGCTCGCTTCAGGGTTTACAGGTTCGCTTCAGGGTTGAAGGTTTCAGGCGGTTTGCAGCTCTGTGGCTTGAAGCTCGAAGGTTAGGGTTTAGGGTTTAGGCGTTTGGGGTAGTTAGAAGTGGAGTAATCAGTGGGGTTTATGTGGTTCCTTCAAGAGATCTATTTAGGGGGTTTAGGGTTTAGGGTTCGAGATCTTCGAAGCCGGGAGCCGTGGTTCCCTCATGCCCAAACCCTCAACCCGAGTAGCGCATATAGTAGAAGCCAGAAAGTTGGAACATCATTAGCCTCACGCCCTTCCAAGAAAATATATGGAATCCAGCATGAATCATCCTAAATCTATGTTCCAACTTTCTGGGGTTCACTGTCATAATACCCTTGTAGATCCCTTGTAGTAGCCCTTATGGATCCCGTTAAAGGAACCCTATATAGTCCTTCGCAGGCAAGCCCAGCACTCTGGAGTCCCAACGTCCAGCACCCGAAGTCCCAGGTCCCGATAGTATGGTCTGTGGTAGAAGCCCAAAATTAGGAAACCCCATAGCCTCAATCCTTAAGAGTAATGTAGAGGGAATCCCATTTGGCCTTAATCCGGTTTCCAACTTTATGGGGTTTACGGTAAATATTTGAGTTAATACTATACAGCATAATCCATTATACTGTAATATTTTTCTTATAGTAATACAACATAGTAGAATAAACTAATAGAATATGACGTAGTTAATGCAGCTCAGCATAGTTTAAGCTAATGTAACATAGTACAACATAGTAGAATAGAATAATAGAATCTTAGAATAGTAGAATAATAGAATAATAGAATAATAGAATAATAGAAGAATAGAAGAATAGAAGAATAGAAGAATAGAAGAATAGAAGAATAGAAGAATAGAAGAATAGAAGAATAGAAGAATAGAAGAATAGAAGAATAGAAGAATAGAAGAATAGAAGAATAGAAGAATAGAAGAATAGAATAATAGAATAATAGAATAATAGAATAATAGAATAATAGAAGAATAGAAGAATAGAAGAATAGAAGAATAGAAGAATAGAAGAATAGAAGAATAGAAGAATAGAAGAATAGAAGAATAGAAGAATAGAAGAATAGAAGAATAGAAGAATAGAAGAATAGAAGAATAGAAGAATAGAATAATAGAATAATAGAATAATAGAATAATAGAATAATAGAATAATGGACTACGATAATAAACAAATAATAGAACACAGGGATAATGGAACAACAGAATATTAGAATAATAGAATCACCGAACAATCGAATAATAGAATCTGGCATTGGCCCGCTTCTGTTCTGTCACGAGCTTTCCGGCTCTGGAACCCCCGGGACTGTGGCCTCCCCGAAAGCCCCGGACTCACAGAGCCACTTCCGAGGTAGGGTTTACGGTTTGGGGTTTAGGGTTTGGGGCTTAGGGTTTCGGGTTTAGGGTTCAGGGGGCATACAAGTGTCGTAGTCGTGCAATCCTATACTATACCATTTTGGGGTTTCCTGATTCTAAATACAGCATAATATATCCCAAAACCCCCATTATTAAGACCCCTACGGTACTTAAACCCAAGAAGGAACAAACCATTGAATTTTTACTTCTATCCCAACCATGGACTAGACAAAGAGTTTCGGCCGACACCCTTAAGATAGGAGTTGGTTGACTTCGTTTTGCCGGTTTGGGATGTCAGGTACGACATCCCATCGGTCGTCACCGTTTTGGTCTGTTTCGCGAGTTCAGAGCAATTGCGGAGGTCTCAGCACTCAGGACCTTGAACCGAGTCCCAAACCAAAAAGGCAACGCGAGCCCTGTTCCCTAAACCCCTTAACTGTAAACCCCTAAACCCCAAGCCCTAAATCTTAAACCACTGAACCCCCTAAACCGTAAAGCCGAACACCAGGCCGACGACCGCTGCCGGGCCAGCGTTCTGCCGGCACTCGCCGGGAGCTGGCCGCGGGCTCTGAGCTGCCTGGCGAACACTGGTCCAGACGGCCCAATACCCCGTAATTAGGGAATATAGCTTAAATTATATAGGGCTTCAATACCCCTTAATCAAGGAATGTGGCTTAAATTATTTAGGGCTTCAATATTATGATTTAAGCTATATTCCTTAATTACGGGGTATTGGGGCTCTCATTGGGACTATTGTTGGGGTCTACATAGGGACTACTATAGGGATCCATTCCCCCATTTCCCTACTAAGCACCAGGGAGACTGGAGGTGTGTACGGAAATGTAGAAGAATTGCTCTACACGTAGTCCTTGTGTATCGTAAGTACTGTAGTTTCATATGGTTGTTGGGTTTAGGGTTTAGGGTATTTTCGGGGTGAGGGTTTAGCGCAGGAGTGTAAGGGTGTTGTTCAACCGGTTATTGCAGGATTTCCGTCCGCCTTTTTTGCTGGGTTTGTCAATTTTTCGCTTCTGCGGAGGAGGCTAAACCCTAAACCCTAAACCCTAAACCCTAAACCCCTAAACCCTAAACCCTAAACCCCTAAACCCTACACCCTAAACCCTAAACCCTAAACCCCTAAACCCCAAAACCCTAAACCCTAAACCCCGAATCCGATACTTCATGCAGCTTTTGCAAAGCCCTAGAGCTCGGCCCCCGGAGCAGTTGTAACAAAGGGGAAAAGGAAAATACCCTTAATCTAGGGCTCTTAGGGTTACTTTAAAGGGATCTACAGGGATTCTATAAGGGTATAGGCGGTATAGGGTTTAGGGTTTAGGATTTAGGGTTTAGTAGGGGAAAAGGAGGGACCCTTAATGGGGACCCCTGGGTCCCTAGAATGGGCTATATAATGGGTATATAATCGCTTTTTTAAGGGTATTTTCCTAGGGGTCCTTATATAATGGGTATATAATAGCTATATTAAGGGTATATACCTAGGGGTCCTTATCAAGGGTCCCTCCTTTTACGCTTTGATTGTAAGATTCCCGTCGGCGGGAAGGGTCTCTTGGGTTTTGGCTTTTGTCGTTCAGGCGGTTTGGGGATGCGGGGTGTTGAAAAAAAGAGGGTACTTGAGGTTTCTGATTTCGTGTTTCTTTGTCGTTTTGGTTCCGGAACCTTCAAGATTCCGTCGTTTCTGACATCCAGGAGGCAGCGTACAATTGGAGCCCCATCCTTCCCCCCAAACCAACATGGAAGCTGAAAGCGTGGGCCCATTGCAGATAGGGCGTGTGGGAGATGAAGTTTAATCTCCCCTCAACCTTAAACCCTAGACCCTACACCCTAAACCTTAAACCCTAGACCCTAAACCCTAAACCCTTCACTCTAATCCCCCGCAGCTCTTGACCCGGAGCCCCAAAACCCACACTCAAGAGCCCCAATGCTTTCGATCCCAGCCGTAACCCCCGAGCCGCAATCCCACTGAGGGTTCCCGCAGCCGGAAAAGTAACCCGGCATTCCTTAGAATCGCTATTATGAGCACGGCAGAGCATACCCAAATCCCGTTCCAATGTTTAATGCCCTATACTTGGAATTTCTATGGTGATAAGCAGTTTTAAGTATAGTTACCGTAATTATAACCCTCGATATTAAGTCCCAGGATCCTTTAAGTAGACCCTAAACCCCAAACCCCATAGATCCCTTTAAGAAGCCTTATAGATCCCTTTAAAGAGCCCGTTTATAACCCCACATGTTTTCCGCAAATCCTTGAGTTTTCGAGATTCCAAGGCCTCCTACCAGGCCGGTATCTGCAAAGTCGGGCGACTGCGGCTGCAGCCTGGCTTTCAGAGGTTTAGGGTTTAGGGTTTAGGGTTTAGGGCTAACACAGGGTATCCATATGAAGCCCGGTGGTAGAAGCCTCATAAAGCCTTCTGCAAGTCATGTACATGTCTAAGCGCAGGTATGTGTATGTTTTCTGGTGGATTTGATGGTGTGGGTTTGGTTTGGGGTTTTGGGGGTAAGGGAGCACTTCGAGCGGAGATCTCTTTTGAAGACAAAACGATTGGCATTGCCTCCTTGTAGACTCTTTACTCAAGAGGCAAACGAACTGTTTCTTCTGGAGAATAGCAGCAGCAAAGCCCAGAACATCCAAACCTTAACCCCCAAACGCTTGTTCCGGTCCTGAAGACTTAGCATGAGTTCTTCCATAGTTTTGAAAAATTCTAGATGGCGAAAGTCAAAGTTCTAAACCATGGCGGCCCAAAACCGTGACCCGAAAAGTGTAACGCATGTTTACATGCATACATACGTACATGTGCATGTGTAAACATGTAGACAGATAGGGAGACAGATAGATAGAGAGGTCTCCACGTATGTACATATGTACGTATGTATATACGTATGTAATTATGTATGCATAAATGTATGTATGTATGTATGTATGTTTGTATGTTTGTATGTATGTATGTATGTATGTATGTATGTATGTAGTGCAGTGCAATGCAGTGCAGTGGAGTGGAGTGGAGTGGAGTGGAGTGTAGTGCGGTGTAGGTATGTATGTATGTATGTACGCATGTATGTGATAATCTACTGTAATGTCATGCAACATAGTTGCAACATTATGTATGTGTACGTGTATGTGCATCTTCACGTGCATGTGTACGTGTATGTGTCCGTGTACGTGTACGTGTACATGCACGTGTGCGCGTGTGTGTAGGTGTATGGGTGTGTAGTGTATGTGTATGTGAGTGTGTATGTGTTAGTGTTAGCGTATGTGTATGTGCATGTGTATGTGCACGCGGATGTGCATGTGCATGTGTATGTGTATGTGTATGTGTGTATGTGTGCGTAGGTATAGGCATAGGTATACCAGTATACGTATAGTTATAGGTGTATGTACGTTTATATGTGTATGTGCATGTGTCTGTGTATGTGTACGTGTAGGCGTATGCGTGTGGGTATGTGTATGGGCATGTGTATGTGCGTGGGTCTGTGCATGGGTCTGTGTGTATGTTTGTATGCATGTGTGTATGTAGTGTATGTATGTATGTGTGCACGAATGTATCTTCATTTGTACGTATCCTTATATCTTAATATCTTGGTATCTGTGTCTTTTTCATCTGTGTATCTAAGCTTTAAGTATCTTTCGGATCCGGGTATCTTGTTTCGAGCAGTTTGCCGCCGTTTCTCACTCTAGTCCCCTTCCGAGCAGTTCGCTCCCCGTTTTCAAGTGCTGCAATCCCTGGTGAGTGGCTTGCTACTCTGTTTGACATCCCTTTCTGATGGAGCCCTGCTCTTTCTCAAATGCTCTAGTCGCTTTCGATCGCCTTGCTGCTGTTTGTGAACGGCTCTTGTCCTTTGCGAGCGGTTTGCTCGCGTTTCTAAAAAGGTCTGGTTCCTCTCGAGCTGTGTGTTGCTCATGCTCAACTGGTGTGGTAAGGTTCAAGCGGTTTGCTCCTCTATGTGCTCTCGCTCCACTCTTCCGATCCGCGCACTCCTCATTTCTCAAGTGCTCCATACTGTCGTGCGTCAACTAATGGTACAGCTCCCAGGCTATTCTCTTGCAACCGACCCTATGTGTGCAATTGTGAATTCAGCCCGCATTGTGTACTCTAAGTTTGCGCATGCGTTGTCAAACTCGCAGCTGTGCTGGACAAATGCCAGATTTTCTTCTCTTCAAGTGTTGTTCGATGCCGCCACCCAGACCCGAGCTGGTTTTACCAGTACGTTGTTCGCGGCCCAAGAGTCAAAGCCGCCTTCGGTGGTTGGCCAGCCACAGCAGTGCTCCTCTGGGCAGCAGTCCCATCGGTGCGATTTGGAGGACAAGGACAAGCTCAACACAGCATAGAAGGAAGACGGGCGTGCTGTTGGTTTTCCGTTGAAAGTGTTGCAAAGTTGAGAAAGTCTCTTCTGAGCTTGCTGTTCTTTATCAAATGCTCCAGACGCTTTTGAAAGCCTGGTTTTTCAAAGGCTTCAGTTTCCTTCCAGCGGCTTGGGCAAGCTAGTTTCAAAAGCTTTGTCGAGGAGAGTGAAGACCAGCTTCGGTTGCAACCCCAGACACTGCTGAAATCTGAAATGTCCGAGCAATAAAGATTTCAGTTCTGTGTTTGGGCTGATTTACGAGAACTGGATGGAGATGTTTGGGGGTCGGACTGAACCGACCATCCTGATTTCGTCAACCAGATCCGGGCGAGACGCATGTTGTCGGTCTTGGAAAATGCGCTGCGGTGGTTGTCAGTACTTTGCTATTGCTGGCATGTGGAACTCCTGATTCTCATGGAGCCATTCTGCTGTTGGGGATCACGTGGGTTTATGACGGAACCTCCCAAAATCTTAAACGACATGAGCTAGCGAAGATGTGGCCGGTGTGTCGCGGGTCTAGGGTTCCCACAGTGTGAAGGCGAAGCCTAAGGGCCGTAAGCCCTAAGCCATTCTACGCCCAAGGCTGCCGGCACTTGCCAGGACTGCCCGTGCACGTAGAGCGCCCGGATTGGTTCAGCATTTCGATTTTCGGCTGGCCAGGGTTTCCCGGCTGCTGCAAGGTCGGAGCTTTCTGACCAAAAAACATAGTCGATGTCGTAGAAGAAGGAGTAGTAGTCGTCGCCGTATCGTGGCAGAATAATTAGTAGAAGCAGAAGTAGCAGTAGCAGTAGAAGTAGAAGCAGAGGAGGTGGTAGCAGTAGTAGTAGCAGTAGTAGTAGTAGTAGTAGTAGTAGTAGTAGTAGTAGTAGTAGTAGTAGTCGTAGTAGTAATAATAATTATAATAGTAGCAGTAGTAGCAGCAGCAGCAGGAGTAGCAGTAGTAGTAGCAGCAGTAGTAGTGGTAGTGATCGTCGTAGCAGTAAGAATAGGAGCAGCAGCAGTACCAGCACCACCAGCAGGACCAGAAGCACCACCACTAGCAGTGGTACAGGAGAGGTGGTGTTAGTTGTGAGAGCAGCACAGCTGCTTGCTGTAAAAACAAGAACAGCCCTAACAGCACTTTTACCTGTAGCAATGCTAGCAGTGGTACAAATATTCTTAGTTGCAATAGCACAGCCATAAAGCGAAACTAGACACGGAATCAACACCAACATATTGGATAGTTGTTACAATAGTGTCAAACTGTCATTACTTCCTGGAGGTTTTGAAACCAGCTGCGCAAGCGCAGCAGTGCTATGTTTTAGAGAAGCAGTTCGTAATACTCTTATTACCTGCACCTGAGGCAATACCAGCGTTACTCTGAATATGAGTCATCGTGCGAACATGCCCCAAAAAATCCAAACTCCGAATGAACGGCGAAAAATCACAGCGATGGAAAGGACGCCTGGGGTCGTTGTCTCCTCCTTCTACGAGATCTTGCCTCCCGAGGCGACGGCTTCATGGTTGAGGTTTAGGGTTTGAGCTTTAGGGTTTAGAGTTTGGGGTTTAGGGTTGAGGGTTTAGGGTTTGGGGTTTAGGGTTTGGGGTTTAGGGTTTGGGGTTTAGGGTTTGGGGTTTAGGGTTTGGGGTTTAGGGTTTGGGGTTTAGGGTTTAGGGTTTGGGGTTTAGAGTTTGGGGTTTAGGGTTTAGGGTTTCGGGAGCAAGGCTCTATGTTCAATTCCGCTGCCCAGCACGCAAGCGCCTGTGTCCTAAACAGCTTGAGCCCTAAACGCAGTCTAGACGGCATTGAAATTGTGAACGGCGTTTCTTTTACATGGCCTCGGGTAGCGGGGTGTGTATGTACAACTATACGACTAGGAGAGGCGAAAGGCTGCTGTAAGCACAAATCGTGGTAGTCACGTGCATGGTAACATGACTAGCCGCTAGCCAGTAGCCGCCGCAGTAGTACTCGTGGTGGTGGCGGTAGTCGTAGTTAAAAGGAGCAGACGTGCCACCACGACCATTGCCAACACCGCCACTGCGACAAAGAAGGAGAAAGAGAAGAACACAAACAGCAATCATGCCGGCCTCGGCATCGACAGCACAAGCAGAAAGGGCAGAAGCACAAAGAGCAAGAAACACACAAAATACCACGACGCAGAAGATGAACAATATGACAGAGAAGAAGAAGCAAGTGAATCATAAGAAAGAAGAAGAGGCGGCGGCAGGGGTGGGGCCGCCACCGCAGCAGCAGAAGCAGCATCAGCACCGGCGGTGGTCACCGCAGTTACAGCATTGACAGCACCGACTGCAACGGCTGAATCAATCAGCAACAAGACTACTATAGGGACCTAAACAATTACCAATACTATTTTTTAAGGGTTCCTTCTTATAATTATGGTATAATGGGCACCAAAACCCTATTCTAATTATTAAGGCCCCTATATTATAGAAGCCTACTTTAGATCCCTTATAGAAGGATCCCTTTAAAGGGAACCCTATTCTAATTATTAAGGTCCCTACATTAAACACGAGCAGATCAGGCGGTCGAGACTTCGCAGCGGTGACAACTGCTGCAATCGCTGCCTTGGACAAGGAACTTCGTCACAAGGTACCGGTTTAGGGTTTAGGGTTTAGGGTTTTGGGGTTTAGGGTTTAGGGTTTAGGGTTGAGGGTTTAGTGTTTAGGGTTGAGGGTGTTGGGTTTCAAGGGCTGCGGCGTGGGTCTCATCCCCAAAGCCTGAATCCTACAAGACTCCGCCATGATACTCACTATCAGGCCCTACTTGGAGGTTCATGCGTAGCTGCAAGTAGGGTTATAAGTAGGGTAAATAAAGAAATAAGTAAATACATATATGATCCATATTAGGGGACTTCTAACTCCAATTGTATGAGTACAGTACACTTTCATGGCTCAACTCGAAGACCTCAAGCCTCAAGCAGGACACCCCAGTTCCCAATTACTCAGCCCGAGATCTTGCAACCCCTCACGCTGCAAACCCTGGACCTTACAACCCCTCTTGTCCCCCTAAAAGTGGAGTGTGTAGGGTAGCCTTTAACCGTTTGTGGGCAGTATAGTCCCTATACAATCCCTATATATCCAAAAAGGTTATCCCCATGATACCCGACAAGTAGGTCCCCAACCTTCAAGCACTGAAGCTTCAAATCCTCTGCCCGAAGCCCTCAGCCCCAAACGGCAACCCCTTGACAAGCCATGCTGCTGTTCCGCTTTATTATTACCATCATTACTATGACTACTATATGCTACTACAAAGGAAACCCATTATTACCATTTTTACTACGACTACTCTGAACCCTAAACCCTAAATAAACCCAAAATTACAACAAGCAAACCCAACCCTAAACCCTAAACCGTATTGTGCCAGAGCAAGGAAGGAAACTGGGCGTCGGCATCGGCCCTGCTGCGCCTCGCCGATCCGGTCGATGAGGCGCCTGCGTGTAGGAGTTTGGGGTTTTAGGGTTTCAGGGTTTAGGGGTTTAGGGTTTAGGGTTTAAGGTTTTAGGGTTTAAGGTTTTAGGGTTTAGGAGTTTGGATGTTTAGGGTTTCTGGGTTTAGGGTTTCTGGGTTTTAGGTTCGTGCTTTTTTGGGGATCTGTGTTTTGTTGATAGTCCAGGCTCCGTATAGTGAGGAACATACTGAGGGATCCTACCATTTAGGGCTCTGTAAGCATCCTGCTGTTTAGGGTGACTATTTGGGTGGAAGGGTTCGGCTTTGGGGTCTGTCATTCGAGAGAAGGGACCTATCGGCCTCTAAGTGCCGTGCTTCAGGATTAGTAGCACAGGCCGCTGGGGGTTTTGGGTTGCAGGTGTAGGAAAAGACGTCCAGGGGGAAGTCACAGCAATCCGAGGCTTCTCGTTTAGGGTTTAGGATTCAGGGCTATGTGACTGAGCTGTCTCCGGAATGTAAAGCCACCCGCCTGAGATTTGCATCTTGGCAATACCGGCTTACTCCGTTTTGCGTGCAGAGAGGGAGAGAGAGAGAGAGAGAGAGAGAGAGAGAGAGATAGAGAGAGAGAGAGAGAGTGTGTGTGCTTCGAGGACTAGTGACTAAGGCTCAGGTCATGTCGTAACCCGGCAGCACCCGCGCCCAACTAAACTTCTGTGAAAGGCGAAAGCCCAAAACAACACCCCCGGCCATAAGCCCTTACATGGGTGGTTGTCAAAACTATGGCCCTCCTTGAGTCCCTATTACAATACAGCACCTAGTATTTAGGGTACCCAAAAAGGGACCCTCATCTTGACAACCACCCCGCACGTTGCGATGCCCAGTTCCGGGAGGTGATGTGCACAGCCGTGCTGAGCGCCGCCAGGCCACTTCGGGTTTCTTCTGGAGCGGAGACTTTGATCTGTAAGAGTCTCCAGAATCATGTTGAAAGTAAGGATCTAACAACAGCAAGGAGACCAGCGATCATGATAATCCTGCTTCTGATCAAAGCAGATGCCAGCCGCAGTGCTGGTGATGATCATTCTTGCACTGACACTCTAGCGGTACATGTTGACAGCCAGAATGTTGACACCCAGCCATGTGACCTAGATCACAACAAACATAAGATTCAGGAGAAGGCTCTTGTGCATTCGACCCAAGACATGCGTATCGAAACGGGGGGACTCAACAAAAATACCCTCGACGATACACCCAGAGTCAGGGAGGGGTTTGCGCGATGCACGTTGAGCTTGACCATGCTTCTGCCGTTAAATATATATATATATATATGTATATATATATACATATGTAGTATTATCCTTGGACTTGGAGCCTTCAACGCGAAATATTCTAAGTTGTAACAATCCTCAGAAATTCAACTTGAAAATGGCCATCCCTTCACCCAAGGAGTTCCAGGATTGGATTTTTTTGATGGGGGGTTTCAGTGTCAGAATGTAGGAATCTGATTAAGAAACCTTGGGACTTTATTAGGGTTCTATCAGGGTTCCTTCAAAGGGTACTATAAGGGTTTTGGGGGTTGGATGTAGGAACCTGATTAAGAAAGCTTGGGCCTTATGTTAGGGCTCCTTATATGAATCCTACTATTTTGGGGTTATAGGCCCAGGGTTTCTTAACCAGGTTCCTACATTACCTTTAAAGACCCCTCATAGTACCCTTATAGATCCCTTATCGTAACCCTTATAGACCCCTTTAAAGGAAGCCTGAAAAAGGCCCAGGGTTTCTTAACCAGGTTCCTACATTAGAACTGTGTCGTATGGGGACCCAAGAACCTCTGCATCGTTCGCGCCGCACAGAAGTTTGAGATCGCCCCGGGGTCGCCCGAGACTAACATAGGGGCCTTAATTACCCATACTATTGTGGGGGTTCCTTTGAAAGGATCCATAAGGGTTCCTTAAAGGGATCTATGAGGGATCTATAGTAGAGTTCTATAGTATAGGGGCCTTAAGAATCGCCTATACTATGGTTGGGGGATCCTTATTATAATTATAGTATCATGGGCCCCGCAACCCTATTCTAATTATTGATATGAAAAGCATCGACAACAGCAGCAGAAGCAGCTTGAAACAACAAGCATCACAGTAACAACTGTCGCCACGCTGTCGCCGCCTGCTCGAGTTCCTGCCCCTGCTAATCCTAGTTATACTTTTGCATTCTTTTGCTGCTGCTGCTGCCAGTGCCCCTCTATTGATGCAGGTATTGCTACAGCCTTTGCAATAGCTTCTTCTAGCGCGCTTGGGACACTACCGGTATTGCTACCACTACTGCTATCGCCATAGCTGCTGTTTGCTACTGCTCTATGCCGCTGCTGTTGCCTTTGCTGCTGTTGCCACTGTCACAGGATCCACATTGCACTATTGACATTCAGGCTAGTGCTGCCGCTGCTGCTGCTGCTGCTGCGACTACCACCAAGCCTTACATTCCCTGCATAAATATGCCCGTACCCGCCCATATCCACTACTCTACCCTATTCAGGCCCCTACATGGGAGTTTCCGAAAAATTAGGGTGCCTTATTTTGGGGTCCTTGTAATAAGGATCCTACTATTTAGGGTACTATATTTGGGTCCCCTATTTTCGGAAACTCCCGCATGACCACCGCAACTTCTCGCCTGCCATGGCAGCGAGGTCTTCGGACGCTTGGCCTAGAGCTGCAGCATGGCTCTACACAATGGCCTCAGGCTCGGAAGGTCTTCAAGGGCCTCAACTCGGTCAAGGGTTCAGGCTACGGCTTGATATATATATATATATATATATGTATATAGTATTATATCTTGAGCGAGGGTCATGGTAATACCACGGCAGAGGGAACACAAGCGCCTTTCTTCTTGTTCGTGCTCTGTGTCTGCCTTTTGCCACGGCAGGTTTGCTGTTGTAAATTGTAACCGCCTGACGACTACGTCAAGTCATGCATGCCGGTGGTGTTGTTGGTGGTAGTGTTGGTGATGGGAATAGCAGTCGTCGTCGTCTTTCCCATCGTGGCGGTGGTGGTAGTAGTACAGTCGTAGTAGTAGTGGCAGCAGAAGTAGCAGTAGCAGCAGCAGAAGTAGTAGTAGTAGCAGTAGTAGTAGTAGTAGTAGTAGTAGCTTACCATTCACTTAGGTGGTAGAAAGCTAGGTCTAAATTGCGTGCAGGACCTTACCTGGTCCGCTATATATGTACATCTGTCTGTCTGTCCGTCCGTCAGTCAGTCAGTCAGTCTGTCTGTCTGTCTGTCCGTATGTACGTATGCATGTATATATGTATGTATGCAGATATGTTTACAGTATATGTGCATATATATATATATATATATACACATATATATACATATACATATGTATATATACATATATACATATATATATATATATATATATATATATATATTTACATAAACAATATGTAATGTTTTTTTGGTATCCGTATATTGTGCGACGACAGAGACTTCATGGTCAGGGCGCTTGAACCCGGTGGATGCCAGCTTCAACGCGGCGGCGACGGCCGCGTCCTCCGGGCACAGGCCTCGCAGAGCACGCGAATGATGTTTTGGGACATAACAGCCAGAGTTTGTGTGAGGGTCCGAACATAAGCGGCGGTTACATATTCCACACCTTCCAGCTTCGTGCCTCAAGCAGGTGGGCTTTTGCTTTACGCCTGGTCCCGTTTGCTGCTTCCTTCGGTGCAAATGCCTCCCTGGCGGCAATGCGCAGAGCGTGGTGGAGGGCACTGGCAAGGACCGTCAACGGGGTCGTCTCTCTTTTCTTTACCTGAGAGATCACAGCAGAAGGGATGCGTAGGTCCCTCCCCCCCCCCCCCCGCTGCGAACTTCTCCATTCATTCCCAGTCGAACGGGTTGCTTGTAGTCGGGCCCTTGTCTAGAGTCGCGTTCGAAGGCGTTGCTGTTCTTGTCTTGCATCACTCCACCCTTTGTCAACGTCTCTCGTCCTTGTCCAGCGGCTTGGGTCCCTTTTGACGGCTTTGCTCCCCTCCTGCAGAACGTCGCCTTTTCTTTTCGAATGCTCAACTTCTCTGGTGAGTTTGATCGGTTTGCCCCATGCACCGGTTGATGGTATAACTCTGCATTACCCATAATAAGGAAGACGCATAATTCCCATAGTTTAGGGTCTTAAGGCAATGCAGGATTTATATCATCAACCGTCCCACATTCCCTAGAGGCTCTAGTCGCCGTCGAAGGGCTTGCTCCAGTAACTCCATTCGCTGCCATCCCTCACATCGGTGGTTGTCAAAATTATTGTCCCGTTTTTGGGTCCCTATTATAATACAGAACCTATCATTTAGGGTACCCAAAAAGAGACCTGAATTTTGACAACTACCCACGTGACTCGTTCTCCTTCTAAGCTTCTGCGCTGTTGTCAGAGGTTGGCGGCCATGGAGGACGACAGTGTGCTGGTGGACTGCATCAGCCCCCCAGCTTCAATGCCATTTCCAGGCCACGACCACTAAATCCTTCCTATTCCATACTTGGAGGACCATGGGACTTAGTAAGTAAGCTTAAAAGCACCTAAATTGGGATTATAAGTCCCATGATCCTTTAAGTAAGCTGCTGTGGCTTATCAAAGCCTGCATGCCGAGCCAAGCCCTGGACATACCGGGCCGGGATGAGATGTGGAAGCAGCAATCAAAGGACTCTTCAGGGGTTTGGGGTTTAGGGGTTTAGGGGTGGGGGGTTTAGGGGTTAGGGTTTAGGGCTTTCGGCGCTCTGTAAGGTCTCAAGCCCTTCCAAACCCGATCAATTCCTGCCAGCAGCGGTACATCGGCGCAGTTGAACTTCACGACCAAACCTGAAGGTCATAAGCTCGAAGCCCGCCGGACTTAGTCAGCCCTAAACCCCACCATGTCCGGAGCTGAAAAAGGCGCTTAAATAAGTACCAATACGATTGTCGGGTTTTAGAGTGTAGGGTTTAGGGCTTCCTTGCTAAAACTGACGTCTATAATACACCAAAACCCTGGTCTATTTATGAAGGCCCCTATGTTACCCAGGTTACAACTCGGTTCTGGCAGCCCTGGCTTCGGACAGCTGCTGGCGCTGGGCTCTCGATCGGGCCAAGCGCATGTCGGAGCACCCAGAAAGGGACAAAATCTAGAAGCCGAAGAATTGCCAGTACTTTTCCCTTAGGGAGTCCTATCATATAAGTGTACCTCGGGGTTCTTGTTATGTTTATACTGAATTAGGGGTGCCTAGTCCTAGTACATCTTACCCTGTTCACAGTATATGACACACCAACACTCAATTTCGATGCCCAAGGCCCGACATCCGAGTTCTGATGCTGCGGACAGGATCGTTCCCCAAATTCCTGCAGCCCTTGAGCTTTAAAGAGGTTTAGGGCCTACGGTTAGGGCTTTAGGGCCTTTGGGCGTAGTGTTCGGGCAACAGCAGACCCGACACCCAGTTGTTCCAAAATCCTGAACCCCAAATCGCAAAGCCCTTGCCTTGGCCCTAGACCCTCAACCGCAAACCTCAAATTATAGTAGGCACTTAGTAGGTATTTTGGGCCCCAAAGTATATCCTATACTACTACTTGGACCCTTTGGGTATAAGCCCTTCAAGAACCCCTCCTGAACCTTAAAGCCCTGTAATGTGCAGCCCGAAAGCGCCAATGACTCCTCGACACCTGGAGTACTTAGCATCTACTTGGAGGTTCATGGGTAGTTATAACTGGAGTTATAAGTCCCCTACTATGGGTTATAAATATAGTTACCCTACTTATAACCCCAGTTGCAACTACCCATGAACCTCCAAGTAGGCCCTAAAGCCTATACCCTTATAAGGGCCCCTTACAGGAGCCCTTCTAACTACCCATCAACCTCCAAGTACCCTTCAAGGCAACTGAAGCCGTCCTAGTCTCCGAGCCCCCGATTCTCGTAGCACCTGCCCTGAGCCGACTTCCACAGCCTCCATCGGACCTCAACAGTAGATAACATATACACGGTTCAATACATACACACATACACACATGTGTATCTGTATATACATATATATATATATATATATATACACATGCATACCTACATACCTACCTACGTACCTCCCATCCATCCATCCATCCATCCATCCATCCATCCATCCATGCATGCACTTATTTATGTAGTAAGTTTTATTTGCATACATCTATGTATATATGGATACCAGTAGATATATGCACATTGTTATCTGCGAAGGTACCTATGTATATGCACATGTATATGGACAGCTTATTAACCGGGCTTAGCCGAGCCGAGCTGGGCTGAGCTGATCCTAGCAAAGATCATCTAGATTAGACAGGAAGACAGGAAGAAACTTATATGCTTGGGATAGATGGACAGTTGGATCTACAGATAGATCGGTAGACAGCGCTAAACCCTAAAGCCCTAAACCTTAAACTCCAAAACCTAAAGCCCTAAGCCCTGAACCCTACGCCCTAAACTCCAAAACCTAAAGCCCTAAGCCCTGAACCCTGCGCCCTAAACTCCAAAACCTGAAGCCCTAAGCCCTGAACCCTACACCCTAAACTCCAAAACCTAAAGCCCTAAGCCCTGAACCCGATGCCCTAAACCTTCAACCCCAATTTAGGCAAGCAAAGTCCCTGGAGCCCGACGAGCAGACCTTGGGAGCCTGCCTCAGCGCCTGCGCCCTGCGCTCCCTCGCGACGTGAGTGGAGCCCTTTTAGGGCGGGTGGGTTTGGGGCACCTTTAGCCCTAAACCTAGGGTTTAGGGTTTAGGAACCCTAAACCTAGGGTTTTTGCCCTAAGCCCCACAAAGATTTCGGGTTTGGGGCCTGGAGTTTCGCATTTTCGAAGCTCGGAAATGTAAAACCCTACAGCCTAAGTGGGATTTTCTGGCATCGAAACCGTGAACTCCGAAAACGTAAGCTGAAATTCGCAGCCCTACGCCCTCAAGTTTAATGTAAGCAGAGAGACCAGACGTCAAAGCCCGAGCTTCCGAAACCTGCTTCTGTGAACTTGGGCTCCACTTGGAAGATCATGGGACTTCGTAAGTAGGGTTTAGGGTTCCCTTTAAAAGGGTACTATAGGGTTCTCTAATAGGGTTCCTGATATAGGGATCTATAAGTAGTCTATAATGGGAGGATCATGGGACCTAGTAAGTATGGTTATACGTACCTTAACTGGGGTTATAAGTATTTGTAAGTACAGTTACCCTAATTATAACCCTAGTTACTAAGTCCCATGATCCTCTAAGCACGCCGGCTTCTACGGGTAGTTGTCAAAATTAAGGTTTTGGGTTCCCGAAATATTAGGTGGCATACTATAATGGGGACCCAAAAAGGGACCCTAATTTTGACAACCACCCACATGGAGTTTCAGAAAGACATGGGGTAAAACTCGGGGCAAAGGGAATATGGGTATCAACCAGTGCCAGCCTTATTGTAAGAATATCGAAATGAGGGCCCGGAAGCGCCAAGAACCGCGAATAAAGCCCTAAACCCTAGAAGCTGCACCCACCCTGTCACAGTGACTATAAGGATTATATTAGGGCCCGATTATATTTCTATTATACCACTATTTCAGGGTGGGGGCCCCTTCTATCCTAAACCCTAAGTCCCAAAGCCCCAAGTCCCAAAACCCGAACAGACCATCTGCTTTGGGGGTCGTCTTCTGGGTTCTTGTAAGGAAGTTCTTTCAAGTTACCACCATATCTGTCTAAAGTGAATAACATGGTTTCCTTATTCTGGTAACTTAAATTTAAATAGAACCCCTTAACAGGAACCCAGTGTTTGAAAGCATACCGGCTTCGACTGGGGGAAGATGCGATGGAAAGGAAGAGCGGCATATTCTTGGGGTTGAGGGTTGATGGCTCCGGGTTCAGGGTTTAGGGTTCAGTGAGGCTTTGCTTCTTGGCTTTGATTTTGTTGTGGAGGTTCGTTTTCGGGATTGGTGCTAAGGGCATTGGGGTTTTGATGCCTTTGAACATTGAGCTCCTGAGCCATAAGCCCTGGAGCCTAAATTGCCGCAATCCAAAACCCCGAGAGCCCTGAGCCCGCTAATGCATGTGTTTATGTTAGGTACGCTACTGTTGTTGCAAAAACTTTTGCAGTTTCCATTCTCCCTGTCACTACGGCCTTTACGCGGAAGCTTTCTGTTGTCGATATTGTTCTTCTTGTTCCTAGCCTTGCTTCTGCTTCGATTGGCTTTTCTGCGCGACTTACTGTTCTCCTCATGGCATTCGATTGCACGTTTTTGCCATTGTTATTGCTGTTCCCACTGTTTCCACAAAAGCCAGTCTTCATGTTGTCATGGCCCGATTCTCTAAGCTTCAAGTCCTGAGCTACTCTTCATGCCGCTGTCATGGCTTCGCAGCCTCCAGGCTTGCTAAGTGTTCTTTTGACATATCTTTTCGATGATCGTTTGAAATTTGGGCTCCAAGCGTTTCGCGAATGCCCTGCAGCGTGGCCCAAGACTACGTTTGCTTGGGCTGGGGGGGCCGTGGAGCAAGCCGTGGCCGAATCCTCAGTTCAAGCGAAGCAATAAGGTTTTACGGTTTAAGGTTTGGGGATGGGTGTAGCAGTTCAGGGGTTTGGGGGTTTAGTAGGGCGTAGTGGACTTTAGTAGGGTTAGTACGGTTTGGTAGGTTTTGGTAGGTTTTAGTAGGGCTTAGTAGGGTTTAGGAGGGGTTTCGGGGTTTGGGGTTTAGGGGTTTCGGGGTTTCGGGGTTACGGGTTTGTTGAGTTTTAGCTAGAGCCCTCAACCCTAATGTAAACCCTAAGGTAGACCCTGGGGGTTTGTTAATCAGGGCTCTACATTGCACTTGAAGCCCTCTTTCCGACCCCGCTTACTAAGGACGGGGCCAGCCGGAAGCGGCTCGAATAGCGACTCCACAAGCGAGTGTAGTGGCAAGGGTTTCGAGTCCGATGCTGCCAGGTTGCATAGCTCAAGCCAGACAGCCCCCCAACCAACTCTAGCCAACAACTCCTTACCTAAGCCCCACCTCCCCGACAGCCCAGCACCCGAGAACCCTCAAAGAGATTTCCGAAGATCACTGAAATAGTGGACACCACCCACCCTCAGCTTCCAACCCCCGCACTTATTCACTCTAACGCCTCATCCCAACAACTGCAGTAGGTTTAGGAAAAGAAACAACACCCGCCATGGGGACGATGTGAGCCACCTCGACCCCGTGATCGTGCAGTGAGGTACCGCAACTCAGACGGCTCCTGTTTTAAAATTCCGGTTGTAGGCTTTGGAGTAGTTTTAAACCCCAAACCCCTAAACCCTAAACCCCTTAACCCTAGTGTAACGCGGGTCCGGGGTTTGGGGTTCGGGGCTTTGGGTCCTAGGCCTCGGCTCCTTTTACGTGTTTTTTTTTTCAATGTGGAAGTTTCCGAAAATTAGGGGTAACCTATTTTGGGGTGCTTATGAGAAGGATCCTACGATTTAGGGTACTATATTTGGGCCCCCTATTTTCGGAGACTCCCATGTTTTTGCTTTCAGATCTTCGTTGCACCAAGTCTTTGCTGTGTGTCTTGTGATTTTGTCTCTGCTTTCTCGCTTGGTTTAGGTTTAGGGCTTAGGGTTTAGGGTTAGGGTGTAGGGCTTAAGGGTTTAGGGTTTTAGGGTTTAGGGCTTAGGGTTTAGGCTTTAGGGCTTCGGGTTTAGGGTTTTCTGCTTGCTCGCTTGTTTGACTCTGTGCTGTTTGCTTTGCTCCTGTAAAGCAGTGAAGCGAAACCGGCAAAGCAGCGGCAAATGCCAAAGCCAACGACGGGCTCCCACCATCTCTCTCAAAGCATCCCAGCACGCAAACCCTAAACCCTAAACTAGCAAGCCAAGAAGCTCCGAGACCTATGAAAGAGCATGGGCGCCGCTCAAGAATGTAAAGCGTCAAACCATCTGCGACGGCACCCGAAACCCTGAACCCGAAGCCCGAAATCTTAAACCCTAAAGGGAGCCCTAAGCCCGAATCCCTAAATCCTAAACCCTAAAGGGAACCCTAAACCCGAAGCCCTAAATCCTAAACCCTAAAGGTCCTAAGCCCGGAACCCTGAACCCGAAGCCCTCATGGACTTCACCAAGAGAGACCCTAACCTCTGGGCCCGGGAGCCTGCAAACCGAGGCTCCTTT